TTTTTATTTTTTTTGTGATAGTTCATTAGAATTAAAAGAATGTATATTTCAAAATATGGATCAAACAAATAGTCATAAGATGGTTTTTTAAAGTTGTTGCATCACATTACTATACAACAGTTGCATAAAATCATTGGCCATTAGTTTATGTTATAATTATATTGTATTATACTAATATATATCATCCAATATTAGTATAATATAAACTAATATTGTGTTATATATATTATATTGTATCATACTAATATATATCATCCAATATTAGTATAATATAAACTAATATTGTATTATATATACATTATAAATAATTATATTACATATTATATATTATATATTTATATTATTTATATACATTTGTATTATATAATATTATATAATATATATTTGTCAAAATATATTTATATTATAACAAATATATATTATATAATTTTTTTATTAGACCAACACTTTTGTATATTATACATGTGTATATGTGTATCCGTATGCGTATGTAACTCCATGCATATACTATAAATTTTGTGTAGGTCTCATTTGCATTTAAATATACTATAACTCATATGTCATAACAATAATAAAAGGATAATTTTTATATAAGGTCGCGATCTTAAAATGAAATATTAAGGTTGCACCTCACAAATCTATTGAAAATTGTTGTTTTGATGTTGGAAAGCCTTTTAATTGATCATCTCGAGATCAAGATGTATGAATATATAAAAAGATAAAGATTTCGAGTCTCAAACATAGTGCATCTTGCAACACATTATTTAGACCATCTATTTTCAAGATTTTCATGTATTTATCTACTTGATTTGAGCCATTTTATGAGTTTAAAAATTGATAATTAAATATGAAATTGGATTATAAGGCCATCTTAATAAAATTTGACACCAAAATTATATTTTATGATAAAATTTTACGTGCATCTTATTTGGATTGTTTAAGGTTGCAACCTTATACAGACCACATCCATGGTAAAACACTTGAAAAATGAAATGAAATGAATAAATTATTAATTATTAATATAAGATAATTATTTTTCATAAAATTTTAAAATTTATTATAGTCAAACTCAAGGTTGCATCGTAACAATATGAAAATAAGCCAAAAATTGTTAAGCTGATTATGAATTTAAACTGTTTTTATTTTTTATTATAAGTTTTTTTTAAAAAACAATAATAATAATAATGGGTATTTCCACATGACTTGTATAAACACGGGCAATTTCATAGGTAAACGTGAACTCTTTTTTGTAAAAACAAATTGGCCTCCGTAACTTAGGCATTTCAAAATAGGTATCTAGCAAGGACTATGTCCCACCTTTAAAATTAATATGGGTTTTAATTTTTTATATTTTGTAAAAAATAAATAAAAAATATGTTATGAAAAACATGTCCTTTAAATTTAGCATATGTAGATAAACTTTTAATTATTTTTAAGATATTTTTTTATTTTCAAAATAAAGGGTGCGGTTTGTATAGATCTTAGGATCTAAACAATTAAATTAGAGCCCACCTTCAAATAGTGTCGAAAAATATGGTTTCAATACTGAAAATCTTTGTAATAGTCTTAAAATATTATTTCATATTTATCTATAAAGTTTAAACCTTAAAAAATAGTGTAGATCAACAAATCTATGAAAACTTAAAAATCTTGAAAATTGACGGTAAGAAAATGTGTTACAAAATACACTATTTTCAAAACTTGAAATCCATTTTTTCTCATGTTCATACATCTTGATGTCGAGATGATCAATTTGAAGATATTTGGGCATCAAAACAGCTTCTTCTAGTGAAATTTTTGATGTAGGCTCAAATTTGATTGTTTAGAGCCTCTGCTCTATATAAACTTTTCCCCAAAATAAATATTCATTGAATAAACAAATATGTTACTAAAAAAAATACACATTAAAAAACAAGAAAGACAAAATTACAACAAACCCTTGAATCATTACAACAAACCCTTGACTCAGCTTTCTTTACAACTTCCCCCACTAATTTTTATTATCACAAGTTTTACCCTAATACTAACTTTTATAGCAAAAACCCCCTGAAGTAAAAAAGTCACAGTTTGGATGACGAAAATACTTTTTATTGTACATGAAGACGTCACATTCTCGTAGATGTTCAATCACCAAAGATGGTTCAATGCATATTACTATTGGATCTGAACCCATACCACATTAACTGTCGGGCCGCAACGACAATCTGTCGGACTGCATGCAACTTATGTTGGACCAAGGCATCATAGCACCGCTGGACCGGCAAAATATACTACCAAACCACTTTATAAGAAACACTGTAAAGTATTGTTGTTGGACCGTATGGGTAATATGCCAGAGCTTTGAAAGAAACACTGTCAGACCATATGGGCCATGTTGCCGGACCACATTTACATGTGCCGGACCACATTTACATGTGCCGGACCGATCTAGAGTTGCTTGAGACTTTGGCGGCAGTATTGCTGAGCCCTATGGTGAGTTATCTAACTCTATTATCACTAAAGGATAGGGGCCCAAATCCTCAATGTTTTACCACTTTTATGAGAATGGCCTGGGGCATTGGCAGTAGTATTGTTGAGCCCCATGGTGACGTATCTGACTCCATTCTCACCAAAGGGTAGGGGCCCAAATCCCACGGACTTATCACTATTAAGAAAAAAGTTGGGGTTGTGGTGGTAGCATCCCCATACCGAGTCACTATAACGTGGTATCTATTATGGGCAAGCTTTCTATGCTTCCCGTACAACATAAAACTTATATACTATTATCTAACCGTGCATTATGAATGGAGGGCTAAGATTGCCCTAATCACAATGTCATATCTCTATACTATTTTATTTTTAAATTTTTTCCTATAAACTAATTTGATACCAAATAGTGGATGTTTATTCATCTATTAAACTCGCACTAGCAAAAAACATAAAAAACATAATTTCAATAAAATAAAATAATCAAAATACTTCTGAAAGTTTAATAAGGTATTTTGGTCATTATATTTTATTAAAAAATAATTTTTATAGGTGCGCCGCAATGAGAAAATGGTACGTAGCAAATTTCATATTCATACAATTTGTATAAAAATTATAAAAATAAAATACTTTGAAATATCAAATCTAAGATCAAACGGTGAGTGGCTCTCTTGATCAAAATTTGAGGGCTGGATGGTAGGGGAAGGATATAACTTCTATATTATAAGGAAAATATAGAAACCTTCCCATTTAGTCCTCTTGTTGACACCCCCAATTAACACATTCAAAATGTAACTCCTACCCCAATGAATACTTTCAAAATGTAACTCTCTAATTTATTGAAAACAAGTAGGTCTGTCTTCCTCCTTTGAATTACCTAAAAAAAACATACTCGACAAAAGGCATTTAATAACTACACATTTCGATAAAATGAATTATGACTTTTTAACTTGAAAAGATTTACTATGATTAAATAAATTAAGATTTTTCAACTTGAAAGTATTTTCTATAAAAGTTTGTTTTGAGATAAAAGAGATATAAAAGTTTGTTTGGAGATAAAAGTGGTTAGGGGAGATGGTCTAAAAAAATCAAATTTGGGAGGGTGATATAATTTTGTTCAAATAAAGAAATAAGGTCCAACTATCATCACACTGGACAACGTGATATAGCTATTTTTGACGGTATTAATTGCGTGTCTATATGAGATCAGAGCACATTGAGAGAGAAAGAAATTGGTCGGAAACGAGAAAAATAGATTATCGTGAATCTGGAGAGAACGGAAAATTAGAGAGAAACAGAGAAATTGGCTCTTAGAGACAGAGATTGGCCAGAATCTGGACTCGGATTCAACTGAGAGAAAGGATTCCGGAGCTGGAAAAACGCAATCACAAGTCTTCCGTTTCTTCCAATTCATTCGCCTTGTACTTTACTATAAACCCTAATTCTACTTTACTTTAACCCCTCTCTGAACCCAAAATTAAAATTTGGAGACATTCTTCTTCTTATACTTCTCTTTCTACATTCATGTTTTCCTCCCAATTGAATGGTTTCTTAATTGTAACATCATTGCTAGTCAGCAGTTACTGTTGGAACTTTGAACAAAAATATCTAACCATCTTCGGTGCTAGAGTTGAATTAGTTTATGATTTTCTTATTTACAGTAGTAATTTGTTTGTTGAAAAGTTTAATCGTTGATTGATTATTTGTTGGAGATTGTAATAATAGATATTGACAGAGGCTAACATTGGCTCATAGAATGTCCTGTACTTCTTTGTACTTTTAGGTGGGTTGGTAATTAAAACACGATTCTCCATTGGTTTTTTTTTTTATTTTTTAAATTTTTTCAAAACCCAATCATGGATTGCGACTTGGAAACCCTAATTATTGATTGATTGGTTGGTTGCTGACGTAATAAACCTAAAACATTGCATAAACCCGAAACAACAGTTAAAAGGAATCGCCATTTTTAGTTTGGATTAGGACAAAGGAAGCCTGATTGTTTCTGTGCTATTCCTGGAACCTTTAGAAACAAAGTAACAAAGAAACCAAACCCAAGTGTTTAGAGATAATTATCACATTGTATCTCTTCTATGAATGCAAATATGTTGTCTGATTCTTCTTCTTCTCCTCCTGCTAGTTCTTCTCGTTTCTCTTCATGGTTCAAGTCATTTTGGTCATCAGCTCTAAGATCGAAACCCCTGACTTGCAGTGTTCCTTTAGAAAGAGTTGGAGGCCTGGTTCGACGACTTGGTCTTCTTGATCTCATATTCATTGGGCTTGGTTGCACCATTGGTGCTGGAATCTTTGTTATTTCTGGCACAGCTGCACGGGAAGCCGGCCCTGGTGATCTCTCTCTCTGATAAATTATCTTATTCTCTCATTTATCTCTCATTTTCTAATCATAAAAGATTTATGCCTTTCAATCATGTTTGAACTTTGTAAAATGGGTCAATGAATTACCTTTCTTATGTTATGAGTGAATTAAACATTGGAGTTGTCATATTTTGAGAAAAAAAAATAAAAAAATACAGGATGGGCATAATGATGCTGTAGTGATACAGCTGCATATGCATGTATACATTCATGTCGGAATATGATACTTATTGTGTCGATAAGAAAACTATATGACCACTTGTATTTGACGGCAGGACTTAGTCTTGTTGTGTCCATCATAATACTAATACCAATAATTTACAATTTGTCTATTACTATTGAATCTAAAAAAAAGTTCATGTTTCTTTAGTTATTACTAATTCTTTAAAATACCCAAAAGTTCATGTTTCTTTAGTTATTACTAATTGTTTAAAGTACCTAAAAATTGGTGGATAATATGTCTGGGTTCAATCAACTGTTCAGAAATGTTTTCCATGGCAAAAAATGTGGGAAGTTGAGATTATTCAATATGCTTGGAACAATGCTCTTGTTTGGCTGGAGTGTATCGTTTTGCTTTGACTTAAGAAAAAAATAAATACAATAGCTTTAGTTTCAGTGGATGAATGAATAGGAAAGAGTGCATGTTTTTCTGCTTTGGAGCTGTAATTGTGGATTCTTACTTCTTCATTATTTTCTTCAGTGCAGGTGTCGCAGTTAGCTTTTTACTTGCTGGATTTTCGTGTTTGCTCAATGCCTTGTGCTATGCAGAATTGTCGTCATGTCTTCCAGCTGTTGTCGGGGGAGCATATATGTATTCATATGCGGCATTTAATGAGCTTACTGCTTTTCTCATTTTTGCACAATTCATATTTGATAGCCACATTTCGTCAGCCACCATAGCTCGTAGCTTGGCTAGTTATCTGGTGATGCTGTTGAATATTTTCCCCTTCTTTAAGGAAAACTGGCCTGGTTGGATGGACCCAGGTGGAGTAGAGTTATTTGGAGGAATCTTATCTGTCAATCTATTGGCTCCTATTCTTGTTTTAGTTATGACACTTATATTATGCCAGGGCTTGAGAGAATTAACCGTGCTGAATTCATTTATGACTGTGACAAAGGTAGCCCTTTGTTTTGCATAAGTATTGATTTGAATCAAAATGAACATTTTCTTTAAGGCATTTTATTTTCGGGGTGACATTGTGTTCTTTGTTCACTTGGAAACCATGCCTATTTTACAAACCTTATTTCTTTGTAGGGAACTGTCAATGCAAAATTTGGTTTGAAACCAACTAGGAGATCCTAATTTAATAGCAATAAAAAGTTACATTTTTGTTCAAAGGTGCTGTTTATTATGCGTTTATCATTTTCCATAAGGTGGATGATTCAATGCTATTATCTCCCCATGCCTATTTTGCAAACCGTATTTCTTTGTAGGGAACTGTCAATGCAAAATTTGTTTTGAAACCAACTAGGAGTCCTAATTTAATGGCAATAAAAAGTCATATTTTTCTTCAAAGGTGCTGTTTATTATGCGTTTATCATTTTCCATCAGGTGGATGATTCAATGCTATTATCTCCCAGGTGCTTATAGTGCTTCTTGTTATTTCATTTGGGGCTTTTAAGGTGGATATATCAAATTGGTCTCCTTTTGCTCCAAATGGATATAAAGCAATTATTACGGGATCTACAGTTGTTGCTTATGCATATAACGGTTATGATGCAATTACGAGCTCAGCTGAAGAGTCAAAAAGACCACAGGTATGAAAAGGGGGTTTTCTTTTTGTGCTATTTTCCTTCTCTTGATCATTGGACATTTGGCATTTGTTGGTTGTGCTTCTTAAAAGTTGTCTTTTAATATGTGTGTCTGCACGCGCATGTGTGTAAGAAGCATATGAGGCATTCTCACTTAGATACCTCATTTTGTAATGCCTGAGGGCTCAATCTGGAGTGTTGGGTGTATAAACTCTTGTGTAATATGTATATATGTATGTATTTATGTATGTATATGTATATAAATAGGTGAGCTGGCTGACCCATAGAAGCTCCATTCATATATATATATATATATATATATATAAGAAAAAAGCGAACAATAGCTGGGTCAGCTATAATGAATAGTGCTATAGGTAGAATGAAAACCGTCAGATCTTCATCATACGGTTCAGAATGCATATCACTGTTATAATTTTAATTATTTTTCTATAAATCGGATCATAATGAAATTTTGGAAATTTGTACTAAAAAATAGGGCCCACAAATAAAAAATATATAAAAGATATTTCTTAGAATATAAAATGATCGAAATACCCCTGAAAAATGATGGGGGTATTTTTGTCATTTTAAATTATTGAAAATAATTTTTTTATACTTTTATGTGGTGCGCAATAGTGTTAGGTATACCCACAATTTCATATTAATCAGATTTATATAAAAAAACTTAAAATTAAAATAGTAATGTGCATTCCGAACCGCATGATGAAGATCTGACGGCTCCCATTCCACATATATATTATTCATTATAGCTGGCCAGCTGTTGAAGGTTTATCCACATATATATATATATATATATATATAGAGAGAGAGAGAGAGAGAGAGAGAGATAGAGATAGAAGTACTAATACGTGTATTTATTAGTACGTTACCTACCTACTAGTACTCGTACTATGTACCTATACGTACTCTAGTACGTACTTTAC